CAGAGGGAGAAGCAGACTCCCTGCCAAGCAGGGAGCCGGATGCGGGACTCGATCCTGTGACTCCAGGATCATGACCTGAGCCGAAGGCAGTAGCTTAACCAGCTGAGCCACCCAGGCGCCCCTTTCTGGGTACTTTGAATCAGGGAACAAATGAACAAATCACTGTTTGTACCGTCTAATCCTTTACGTCCTAGAATTATTTTATGTTGAGTTGATAACTCTTTGACTTTCAGTCTGTTCTCTTCATTTCCATTTGTAGACTCCAGCTCTCTCATGTAGCCTGAAAGCCTCTGCTTTCTGTCTTTGAATTGTGAATTTCTAAATGAAATTTGTTTGTTTACTTGCAGGGCAGACTTCAGCTTCCTACACTTTGTGTGACCATCATTTCCGTGGTGTGAGCCCTGAAGCCGGATACTTCAGGTCTTGAATTGATAACTTTTTTAAAATAGCATCCACAGTGGTTGTTTCAATTGGTGCGGTCTCATCATAGAGGCAGAGGCTGCTCCCTCTATCCTGTGGCCACAGTTGCAAACAATAAAAAGGAGACAGTCTTCTGAAGCCAATGTCAGGTCACCCTGGGACTAAGTGCCATGTGGTTTTATAGATTGAGGTAGGAAGTGGCCTTAACAACGAGGCACTACAGTATATTGTAACAGTGATGATAACTGGCATACTTTTTTCTCTGCACCTAAAGTGCAGAGTGCATAGTAGGTGTGCAGGAAGTGTTTGGTGGTTGAACGAGTGAATGGAATACAGTATGAAGGAAGGGGAAATACTCTAGTACATAAATTGGTTCGTTCCTCTTTTCGTTAAGGAAAAAAAGGACAAGAAAACGTGTTGCAGATTACTGTTGAAAGTTGCTGGTGAGCTGGGTATCTGTATATTGCTTAAATGGTAGAGTTGAAGGCTTACCAATATTAACAATCCGATTAAATTTCATACAAAGGCAGATATGATCCAGAGCTTTCCATTTACTATAACATTTTTAAGAGTTAAAACTATGTGCTGTTGTAACTGAGCCTCTTTGAACTGAAAACAGTCTTTTTTTTTTTTTCTTAAGATTTTATTTATTTAATTGACAGAGACAGCGGGAGCAGGAACACAAGCAGGGG